TCTAGCATTATTTTTGCATGTCAAATTTTCTATTCAGTTCTGGCTTTTCTTTCTGTTTTGTTTAATTCTTTACACTTAATAGTATTTTATTTTCTCCAACATTCACTTTTATAAGATTTTGAGTTCTAACTTTTTCCCCTCATTTCCTTTCCCCTCCACAAGACAGCAAGCAATCTTATATAGATTATGTATGTGCAATCATATTAAACACATTTCCACATTACTTATATTGTGAAAGAAGAATCAGAAACAAAAGGGGAAAACCATGGGAAAGAAAAAAAAGTGATAATAGGATGCCTCAATCTGCATTCAGATTCTATAGTTATTTCTTTGGATATGGATAGCATTTTCTATCACGAGTCTTTCGGAAATGTCTTTGTGTACAATTTGTCATTCTGTTGCTGAATATAGCCAAGCCTCTCAAAGCTGATCATTGTTGCTGTTAATGTATATAATGTTCTCCTGGTTCTGCTCAGTTCACTCCACATCAGTTCATGTAAATATTTTTTAGTTTTTTTTTTCTGAAATCCACTTGCTCATCATTTTTCTTCCCTTCCCTTCCCTTCCCTTCCCTTCCCTTCCCTTCCCTTCCCTTCCCTTCCCTTCCCTTCCCTTCCCTTCCCTTCCCTTCCCTTCCCTTCCCTTCTCTTCCCTTCCCTTCCCTTCCCTTCCCTTTTCTTTTTGCTTTTGTTGGTGAGGCAATCAGGGTTAAGTGACTTGCCCAGGGTCACACAGCTAGTAAGTGTCAAGTGTCTGAGTTCAGATTTGAACTCAGGTCCTCCTGACTCCAAGGCTGGAGCTCTATCCACAGCACCACCTAGCTGCCCCTTGGTCATCATTTCTTATAGCACAATAGTATTCCATTACATTCATATATCACAATTTGTTCAGTCATTCCCCAACTGATGGCTGTCCCCTCAATTTCCAATTCTTTGCCACCACAAAAAACTGCTACAAATATTTTTGTACATGTGGGTCTTCTTCCCTTTTTTTTTAATGATCTCTTTGAGATACAGACCTAATGGTATTATTTCTAGATCAAAGACTATACACAGTTTTATAGCCCTTTGGACATAGTTCCAAATTACTCTCCAGAATGGTTGGACCAGTTCACAAGTCCACCAACAATGCTCCAACATTTATCATTTTCCTTTTCTGTCATATAAGCCAATGTGATAGATGTGAGGTGGTACCCTAGGGTTGTTTTAATTTGCATTTCTCTAATCAATAGTGATTTAGAACACTTTTTTCATATGACTGTAGATAAATACTAGACGTGATAATGGGCATCCTTTTGTGTTTTGTTTTGTTTTTTTCAGAGTAGGTGCCTATGTACAATGGTGAAGAGAGTTTCCTCACCCTAGAGTTTGCTATACTAATGAACTCTCAGGTCCAGTCCCTATCCCTTGTCTTTTTTGTCTGTTTATTTATTTATTTTTAGTTTTCAGCATTTACTTTCAAATTTTCTCCCCATCTCATCCCGCTCCCAACCCCAAGACAGTGTGCATTCTGAATACCCTTTACCCTAATCTGCCCTCCCTTCTATCTCCTATCTCTTCTCTTATCCCCTTCCTCTTCTATTTTCCTGTAGGGCAGGATAGATTTCTATACCCCATTGCCTGTGTATCTTATTTTCCAGCTGTATGTGAAAGCAATTTTTTTAACGTTTGTTTTTAAAACTTTGGGTTCCAAATTTTCTCACTCCCCACCCACCCTCATTGAGAAGGCAAGGAACTTGATACAGGTTATACTTCTATAGTTAGGCAAAACACTTCTGTAGTAGTCATACTGTGAAAAACTAACTATATTTCCCTTCATCCTTTCCTGTCCCTCATTTATTCTATTCTCTTTTGACCCTGTCCCTTCTCAGAAGTGTTTGCTTCTGATTACCCCTTGCCCCAATCTGCCCTCCCCTGCATCATTCCCCTCCCCTCTTATCTCCTTTCCCCCTATTTTCCTGTAGGGTAAGATAGCTTTCAATACCCAATTGAGTGTGTATGTTATTCCCTCCTTATGCCAGATCTGATGAGAATAAGATTCACTTATTCCCTCTCATCTTGCCCCACTTCCCTTCCACTATAAAAGCCTTTTCTTGTCTGTTTTATGTGAGATAATTTACCCCATTCTACCTCTCCGTTTCTCCTTCTCCCAGTATAATCATTTCTCAGCCCTTGATTTATTTTTTTAGCTGTCACCCCTTCATCTTCAACTCACCCTCTCCCATCTATCTATCTATCTATCTATCTATCTATCTATCTATCTATCTATCTATCTATCTATCTGTCTATCTGTCTGTCTGTCTGTCTGTCTCTGTCTGTGTCTGTCTATCTATCTATACATGCATATTTTTTTTCCTTCTAACTACCCTAATACTGACAAAAGTCTCATGAGTTACAAATGTCATCTTTCTATGTTGGAATGTAAACAGTTCAACTTTAATAAGTTTCTTATGATTTCTTTTTCCTATTTACCTTTTCATGCTTCTCTTGAATCTTTGAAAGTCAAATTTTCTATTCAGTTCTGGTCTTTTCATCAAGAATGCTTGGAAGTCCTTTATTTTTCCGAATGTCCATTTTTTTCCCCCTGAAGGATTATACTCAGTTTTGCTGGGTAGGTGATTTTGGTTGTCATCCTATCTCCTTTGCCCTCCAGAATGTTATATTCTATGCCCTGCGGTACTTTAATTTGGATGCTGCTAAATCTTGTGTTATCCTGATTGTGTTTCCACAATACTTGAATTGTTTCTTTCCGGCAGCTTGTAATATTTTCTCCTTGACCTGGGAACTCTGGAATGTGGATTCTTTCCATTTTTATTTTGCCCTCTGGTTCTAGAATATCAGGGTAGTTTTCCTTGAAAGATGATGTCTAGGCTCCTTTTTTGATCATGGCTTTCAGATAATCCAATAATTTTTGACTTATCTCTCCCAGTTCTATTTTCCAGGTCAATTGTTTTTCCAGTGAGATATTTCACATTGTTTTCTTTTTTTTTCCATTCCTTTGGTTTTTACAATGTCTTAATTTCTCATAAAGTCATTAGCTTCCATTTTCTCCCTAATTTTTAAGGAATTATTTTCTTCAGTGAGCTTTTGGACTTCTTTTCCATGTGGCCAATTCTGCTTTTTAAGGCATTCTTCTCCTCATTGGCTTTTTGGACCTCTTTTGACATTTGAGTTAGTCTATTTTTTATGGTGTTATTTTCTTCAGTTTTTTTTTTTGGGGGGGGGTCTCCTTTAGCAAGCTGTTGGCTGTTTTTCATGAGTTTCCTGCATCACTCTCATTTCTCTTCCCAGTTTTTCCTCTACTTCTCTTACTTGCTCCTCAAAATCCTTTTTGAGCTCTTCCATGACCTGGGACTGATTCATATTTTTCTTGGAGGCTTTAGATGTAGGAGCTTTGACTTTGTTCTCTTCTGGTTGTATGTTTTGATTTTCTTTGTCATCAAAGTAAGAACCTGGTGATACTTGTATGAACCACTCCAGAGTGAAAAGAGCAGAAGCAGAACAATTTATGTGATAATAATAATAATGTAAAGATGACCATCTTTGAAAGACAAGAACTCTAATCAATATTGAGATCAACCATGACTCTGTAGAATCAATGATAAAGCAAGCTATCCACATCCTAACAGAGATAATGGCTTTAATATGCAGAATGTGGCATATGCAGTTAGATGTGTCCAATGTAGGAATTTGTTTTGCCAAACTGTGCACATTTGACATGAGAATTTTGTTTTTCTTTCCTTTTCTTTTTAGTAGTTGGGGGGAGATGAGAGGGAGAAAAATACTGTTAATTTTAAAAAGTTTAAAAAGTTAAAAAGGAAAAAAAGAGTACATAAGAAAAGTACTTTGGATTGTGAGTTACAATATTAGTTAGCACAGTAAACAGAAACACAATCATAAAAGGAACCATTCCATTTGGTGATTTCCAAGTTATAAGGTCTCTTGGTTGAAAGAGAAAATGTTTCAAATATTCTGTAAGAACAGATGGCATCACATTATTTTATTGCTATCTGTAGAACAAATATATGGCAAATATGTAGAGATAACAATCATTTGACCAGAAGGCAAAATCTATACAGAAGACAAGTATAATACAAACAATTAAGATAAATATTGAAAAGAAATGGAAGTTATGTAAAGACTTATGGTGATGATAGAAACAAATCAATATGTTCTTACTTACACAAAGGAAGGATTCTGCTTAGTTTTTCAAAGTCCTAAATTACCAATAATATGGTATTATATATTAAATGGATAAGTCAAAGTAGTAACAAAGGATCTGGTCCAAAAACTCTGACAAATCAGCCTAGTGCTATCAGCTGTGAGGACATGGCAGTCAGAATCTAGAGACTTGGACCCAGCTGGCATCCCTAGCCTTTCTGCCATTGACACCTCCCAGAGTCTCTTGACTGTTGTAACTCCTGTCAAAAACAAGTTCATTGCAGGAACAATAAGATAAGAGAAATTATCATATGACCCAGTCTCAGGAGAAGTTTAGAGACTCCAAGCCTCATCTTTCCCATGGGTTCTTTCTGGCAACTGCAGAGAGGTCCAAACATGTTTTTCCAATTATGTGTTTTACTTCAATACAAGGTCGCAGGTGTATGATCTTCAGGCAGGGATGGTCCCCAGAGCTTCTCAGTGAGGAAGGCCTGCCTGCCTGGGCTGAGCAATACAGAACTGAGGTGAACAGGCAATTATTGTCTTCCCAAATGAAGATACTGAAAATAACACTGAAGTATCTTGTAAATATTTTCTTGTTCCTCCAGCTTCGCCCTTGACCAGGACACAGGACTGATTCACATATCATATTCTTTTCACATGTGGCAGGAGCTGCCACCAACCTGGACATCTGCATAGGCAGGAGGCATTTTTGCTGCAGGAGACACTTCCTATTGGACTCTGATTGGACAAGCTACTATCCTTTGACTGCCCACTTCTAGGCTCTTCACAGATTCTTGGCTTTGATTATGATTCAAACCCACTGCCCTAATACTGGTTCTTCTTTTCCTATCACTATTGCTGCAGCTTCCTTTTTATGTGGGAAGACCAGAAAAACTTTCTTGTAAGCAGCAGATCAGCCCTGAAGTCTACAGAGATGGGGATGTGGTTATTGGAGGATTTTCCCCCTTGTTCTCAGTTGAGGTGACCAGTTTCACAGGATCTGAGCATCCACAAAAAGCCTGTAACAATTATCAGTAAGTGTGTTCTTGAGTTTTCCTTAACAATTATTGATTATCTCCCTGATGACCATCAAATGTCCCAATAGTAGAGACACACAAAGGAAAGACCACTTTCTCTTCTCTGAATGTCTTCCCTACTTTAAGGCTGATAAACACACATTGGGCAGCTAGGTGGCACAGTGGATAGAGCACCAGGCCTGGAGTCAGGAAGATACCTTCCTAAGTTCAAATCCAGCCTCAGACACTAGCTGTGTGACCTGAGGCAAATCATTTAACCCTGTTTGCCTCAATTTCCTGATCTGTAAAATGATGTGGAAAAGGAAAGGTAAACCACTCCACTATCTTTGCCAAGAAAATCCAAATGGGGTCACAAAGAATTGGACGTGATTGAAAATGACTGAACAACAACAAAATACACAACCCTACCCTCTTATGAGGTTGCACATGGGCCCCTTGTTTTTTCAACATGGCCATCGCTTTGGGAACTTTCTACGTGGTAGGCTCAGGGACAAATCAGACTGGAGTCATTATCCTTTGTCTTCTTGCCTTAACCAAATGTGTTTTTGGTTATTGTGTTTCTTATTTTTTCTCTTGCCTTCCTGTTCTTTCTCAGAACTGGAGTAGTCATATGAATGCCCTTACACAAGTAGTGCCCACCATGAAGCCAAGTTTTGAATCAGTAGCTCCATTTTCTTGGTTCCCAAGAACTGTCACTGCTTTTTAAATGAATATTCACAGTGGTTATCATTGTGAGCAGCAATACTGGGGGAATTTAATAAAGTCAAAGTCATTTGTAAAACAAATTGTTGGATATGTGGCATTTTTGTTAGTTTTGCCTGATGAGTAATGACACAGACACTCAAACATCTGTGGTCTTAGAAGGATCTATGACCTCGATAAGTCTACATGCCATCTAGTGCTGTGTATTGCAGCCTCTTCATGCCTGTTGGTGCTCTTGTTCATGTCCTCCTATAAGACCATGACAAGGTTAACTTCCTCATTTGGCATTATGCCCATTCCCCCTGAATACCTGGGCCACATCCAAAGACTAAGTTTGCTTCTTGCCACCTCCTAGCCCATCTTTATTAATCTCACAGTTGTTGTTAAGTTCCTTCATCTCAATTCCTCCTTGTCCTTTCTGGTTGGAAACATGATATGTTGTTGTTTGTTTATAATTATGACACATCTTTACTATTAATGATCCTAATTTTTAATTTCCTTGTCTATAATGTTCCTTGATTCACAATCACATAACACTGGGAGAATACTGATATTGAAAAGATTGGCCTGCCTTTCATGTAGAAGTTTCAGAATCATTAAAGACCCTCTGTAACTTCCTATTAAGTATTACAACCTGCTTTCCTCTTTCTTTTTGATTCTGGGCCCACTGAAGTTTCATGTGCCATTCCAAGACATATATACTGATGGAAAATCTCTATAAGTTGTACATGGAACTGCATGCCACAGTCTGGAGAATGGGCATTTTCTATCCTTGGCAAAAATACTTAGGAGATATTGTGTCTGTAAGTAATAATGTTTGAATGAATGATACAAATATGTGGTGAGTGTGGCCAATACTGGAGACATAGGTTGTCTTTCAGATATTCAGACATCATGAATGACACCCCACTTTCATCCCTACAGCATATTTTGTTGATACAGATTTATTTTGTCATTAGAACCATCTTGTAAACTAATGGGCTTTGTAAGGTGTTTTCCTTTTTCATGGGAACCAAAGGATCCGAAATATGATTGAATGTGTGACCCAATCTTATTGGGCTGGTACTTCAAACAATGAGTTACCCTGACTCAGATAGTAGAACAACTCAAATACCTTCCATGTGTTATATAAAACCCAGAATATGGAGATGAACATGCTTGATTCCTGAAATTCTTGTCATTTCTCAGCAACACAGGGACTTGTTTCCATCAGCTGGTATTTCTTAGCTTCTAGCACCATAGTCACTGGACACAATATTTTTCTCAGGCCTTTGTCCCACCTTGTGTCAATGCCTGGGCAATAGACTGAAACTTTGTACCTGGAGAGAAGGGGCAGCTAGATGGTACAGTGCATAGCTACCAGCCCTGCAGCTAGAAGGACCTAAGTTCAAATCCAGCCACAGATACTTACTAGTTTGTGACCCTGAATAAGTCACTTAGTCTTGCTTGCCTCAGTTTCTCATCTGTAACTGAAGAAGGAAATGATAAACCACTCCAGTATCTTTGCCAAAAAAACCCCAAATAGGGTCGCATAAAGTCAGACAGGACTGAAATGATTCAACATCTGAAGAGAACTGATATGCCAATTCAGCCCTAATGGGAAAGGGTAATGTAGCACATCCAGGACTTGCTATAAGTATGTATTTTAGGAATAAAATAATTTTTGTTTTCCAGGAACATTGATCTGATCTAGTAGAGTAGAGATGTCAGCCCTAAGAGAATCCTTGACCCTTGTGATTCTCATGGAAGATGATTGGTGAGTCAATGAATAAAGTGATTGGAGTGGAGCAGTGCTTTAAGGAATAAATGGGAAGTTAAGGGTTACTGTCAGGAAGAAATTTGGGTCTTCTCCACTATCTCCCTGTTATTATATTTCCCCATCTACTCTGCCCCTCTTTTTTTTTCTGTGAATCTTTTTTTTTCAATCTCTTTATTTATCTGGAGAAGGGAATAGTCTTAGTATGTGTTCCAGCTTCCTTCAAGTATTTGAAGAGCTCTCCTATGACAGAAAGATTACACTTGTTCTCTGTGGCCCCAGAGGGCATTGCAAGGCATAACAAGGCATTACATTAGGTCAAATTGTGGATTTTGACTTGAGGTAAGGAAAACCTTCCTAACAATTCTTTGTAAAAATCTTTCTTTGGGAGGCTGTGATGTGAGTTGCTCCTTATTAGAGATTATACATCAAAGATTTAATGACCACCTACAGAATCATAAAACTTCAGAATTGGATAGGACTTCAGCAACCATCTAGTCCATCTCACAGCTCAAAGGAAACCTCACAACAAAGTACTCAAGAAGTGGTCATCTAGCCTTTGCTTAATGACCTCCAATGAAGAGTAATTCATTACTTCCTTAGGCAACCCATTTCATTTTGGAATATTTTTAGGGTTGGGAAGGTGTTTCTCAAATCTAGCCTAAATTTGCCTCTTAACTACTTCTTTACATCATCCTGGCTTCATCCTCTGCCATGATATAAAATGTAACTAACTCTTCTTCTACATGTAGCCTTTAACATTCTTGAAACAAGTAATCATGTCCACCTCCAGGTAAACATCCTAGTTTCTTCAATCGATTCATGTTTAGAATGAACTTTACCATTCCCATTGTCCTCCTTTGAGGACTCTTAAGTTTTGAATGTAATTCCTAAGTACATTGCCCAAAGTAAAAATACTACTCCAGTGATTGTCTAGTCAGTGCAGAATAACTGTGACTATGCCCTGCAGTTTTAAAATGTTTGCTTTCCTTACTGCAACATAGTTGTGCTTCTTTCATGGCCATATCTCATTGTTGATGGATTGCATACCTCCAGATATCTTTAAGATAAACAATTATATAGCCAGGTCTCCACTTCTTGCATATGTGAAGACATTTTTTTTTTTAACTCAAGTATAATATTATATTTATATCCATCAAAAAGAATCTTCTTTAAATTGGCCTGATGATCTCACTTACCAATTTTTTTGGGCTCAGGAATGTCATCCAGTGTGTCATTTGTCCCCCTGCTTTTGTGTCATTTGTAACCTACAAGCCAGTTGCATTTGACTTTGACTCCCAGGAAAAAAAAATTGTAGGATATATGCTAATATTTAACTGACATGTAGAAAACAAAATAGTTATCATTAAGAACTGTCATAGTTTCATCAAGAATAGGTCATACCAGGAACATTTTCCTTTTTGACATCATTACTAGACTTGTAAATATGTTGAGTACTGCCTGTATCTTTTTTTTTTAAGCTAGGCAATGGAGTTAAGTGACTTGCCCAGGGTCACACAGCTGGTAAGTGTTATGTATCTGAGGCCAGATTTGAACTCAGATCCTCCTGACTTCAGGGCCGGTGCTCTATCCACTGCGCCACCTAGCTGCTCCTGTATCATTTTCATAGTTGAAAAAAAATACTTGACAAATTTTGTCATCTTCCTGACTCTAGTCATTTTTCCTGGCTGTCCCCCATGCCTGGAATGTTCTTATTCCTCATATCTGCCTTCTAAAATCCCACCTACTACAGGAAGCCTTTCCTGATCTCTCTTGAGGTAAAACAAAAGTGGACAAAGATATTACAGCTATTTGAGGTGATTAAAAATTGGAAATTGAGAGGGATTCCTATAAATTGGGGAATGTGTAAACAAGTTATGGTATACAAATATGATGGAATGCCAGTGTTCCGAACTGTTATCAGCACAATGACCAGCCACAATTTCAGAGTAATAATGATGATGCATGCTACCTATGTCATGATAGAGAGGTGAAGGGCTCAGAATGCAGAATGAGACCTCTTTTTTAGACATAGCCAATTTCTGTGATTTTAATTGTTGTGTTTTTTCTTGTGTTTTCCGTTGGGAGGAGGGGAAAAGAGATTTTGGCTGATTAAAATAAATAAAATGTTTTTAAAAAGAAAGATAAAGTCTCCAGATTAACATTGACCTTAACTTGTGACAATTGAGTATAATACACCAGATTTGGTCTTGCCAGGACAATATGCAATAACATCATTTTTATTATTATTCCTGAAAGTCAAACCTCTCAAAATGTAGTCCCAAATCACAATGGGATTTTGGTTGCCAAGTTATATATATATATATATGTCTCAAATTGAGGGTCCACTCAACTACATGCACTAATGTTATTGACACAAACTGCTTTCTAGCCATGATTTGTCTATCTTATTGAGAAATTGGCTTTCTGAACTCAAATATAAGACCTTATAATGATCCTTAATGAAAAGCATCTCATCTAGATTAGTCCTTCCAAAATTTTTATTTTTTTACATTCAATTGTTTTAAGTTTTTAATTCCAAATTCTTTCTTTTCTCCTCCCCTAACCATTGAGAAGGCAAGAGAAACAAAACCTTTTACAAATAAGTATAGTCAAGCGAAACAAATTCTTACATTAGTCGTGTCCAAAAAAAGAAAGCAAAGAAAATATGCTTTGATCTGCACTCTGATTCCATCAGTTCCCTATCTTTAGATGGGTGGTAGGTTCTATTATGAGTCCTTTGGAATTCTGGTTGCTCTTTTTGCTGATTAAACTTCCTGTCTTTCAAAGTTGTTTGTCTTTATAATACTGTAGTTATTGTATAAATGTTCCCCTGCTTCTTGCTTACTTCACTTTGTACCAATTCATATGTCTCCCCAGATTCTCCCCATAAACCCCAATCCTTTGTCATTTCTTATAACAAACCATCACTTTCATATACTGTAACTTGTTCAGTCTTTCCTCAATTGATGGGTAATTGGTGGGTAATCATGTCCATCTCTAGGTAAACATCTCTGTTCCCAACTCTGGAAATTCCATAGTTCCAGCAACAGCGGATTAAAGTACCTGTTTTTCCATAGCCATTTCAACATTGGTCATTTACATTTTTGTTAACTTTGCCAATTTGATTGGTGAGGTGCTATTTCAGATTTCTTTTAATTAATCAATGATCTGAAGCATTTTTTTGTACTCATTGATAGCCTGGATTTCTTCCATTGAAAACTCTCTACTCATATCATCTGGGTGTTTCTCCATTGGGGAAGGCCTATTAGTCTTACAAATTCCACTCAGTTCTCTGTATTTTAGAAATGAAATCTTTAAGAAATTTCCTGTGAAGAGTCATTCCAACTCCCCCCCCCAATTTTCTTCCCCTTTTCTCAGTTCAGCTGCACTGGTTTTGTTTGTGCAAAAACTTTTAAAGTTTCACGTAATAAAAATTATCTATTTTACTGCAGTGAACTTTTCTATTGTTTGGTCATGAACACTTTTCCTATTCATAGATATTGACAGGTAATTTCTTCCATAGTGTTCTAGTTTGTTTATGATATCACCCTTTATTTCTAAATAATATATCCATTTAGAGCTTATTTTGGTATATGTATGAGATGTTGGTCTATACCCAGTTTCTACCAGACTCTTCGTGAGCCTAGTTGGGGTTTCCTTGGCAAAAATCCTGGAGTCATTTGACATTTCCCTCTCCAGCTCATTTTATAGATGAGGAACTGAAGCAAACAGGGTCAAGTGAATTGCTAGTAAGTGTCTGAGGCTGAATTTGAACTATGAAGATGAGTTTTTCTGACTCCAAGCTCAACACTCTAACCACTATCCTACCTATCTTCACTCAGTAGTCTTATGAAAAACCAAGTCTGATTGCTTCCCTTCAGGTCTGAGTTGTGAACGTTCCTGACCTGAGTTTAGATCTGAGCAAGAATAGACTGCTAGACTCAGCCCCTATTAGCCAGATGGAAAGCTCTGATAATTTACAGTGGCAGAATGGTAGGCTCCCTTTTAGTCTGTGATTCCTGTCCTGATTATTGCTCTGCAAACTGGCTTGATGCTATAAATGAGATCCTGCACTGAGTCCTCAATCTGAGTCACACTGCTGCTACTGCCTTTTGAATTTCCTCCTATATTGATAGTCCACAAAGGGCCTCCCTGTCTGGGAAAGCCATCCTACATTTACAGGTCCCTTTCCCAATCTACCCTGGTTCTGTGATCCAGAACTAGCTAGCAGGCAGCAAAGCTACCAGTTCACACCTACGTTCATGACAGTGTTCAGTATGGGTCAGGTAGAGCCCCCAAATTGATCTGGGATCTCTTCTTGCTCTGGTGCTCAGCCTCTACCTGGGCACTGGAGTGCTTGGGATATATTCCTGGTCTAACTCTGTTTCCAGAATCTACAGATCTCTCTGCCTTTCTATGACAAACTAGGCTGGAAAAGTGACTTACCATGACTTGTTCTGGATTTCCTAATAAGGATTTGATGTGGTACATTTTCTAGATCTAGTTCAAGGATTTTGTACGAGGGAGTTCAGCCACATTGGTTCCTACTACTCCGTCATCTTGGCTCCACCTTCACTATGCCAACTGTGCTCCTTTCTCTGTAGACTTTGTAGGATGATGAAGGCCTTGAATCCATATCAGAAGAGGTCAGTTCAAGGAATTAGGAAAGTTTTTCCCCAAGAAGGAAAGACTCAGGGGGACATAATAGCTGTCTTCAAGTAGTTGAAAGGCTGTCACATTAAGAGACAGCAGACTTGTTTGTTTGTTTGTTTGTTTTTGCCACTACATGGCAACCAGGGGTAATGAGTGGAGAATTGAAAGAAGTCAATTTGGACTGTGTGTTAGTATGTAGGTGTATAACTGAAGAACTCTGACAATGAAAGGTGGAGTGGAATGAACTGCCACCGGAAGTTTGGTATTGCCCTACATTTGATATCATTCAATGCTACTGTGCAGATTATAGTAAGAATGCCTTTTGGCTGTGGATTGTACTAAGTGGCTGCTGAGATCCTACCCCTTACAATGCTAACATTGTGTGACTCTAATTCCATGAAAAGCAGGACTTCTGCCTAAGCTCTGGCCTCTGAGCTTTCAGTGCCTGACAGAGACCCTGAGTAATCCAAGATTTCTGAGTGACTTATTTCAGCTTAATGATCTTCTTATTCTCAATATAGGTGGCTGTACAAAAACTACCAGCAAGATTTGGTTTTGGTGTTTGCTGTAGAGGAGATAAACCAGGACCTTCATCTGCTCCCCAACATTACCTTGGGATTTCACCTCTATAACACCTACCACAGTGATGCTAGGACCTTGGAGAGCTCCCTGAGGCGGCTGTCAGGGCAAAACCAGACCATCCCTAATTACAACTGTAAGGAGCAGCACAAGTCTGTGGCTCTCATTGGAGGAGCCACATCTGCATTGTCTGTCCAGATGGAGACACTCCTGGCACTTTACAAGTTCCCCCAGGTAGGTGAGATTGAGGCTGTCACATGTTTCTTATGTTCCATTCAGGCCACTCAGTTTGGAAGAGGGTGAACCTGCCTTTGAACATTCTTCAGATTATGACACCAAGATAGAATTGACTTCATTTGGTTGATAGTGGCAGAAAGTACCTTACAATTTTCTACTAGAGGAAACTGAAGCTCAGAAAACTTCAGTGACTTGTCCATATTCACATATAAACTAAATAGAAGAAATGAGATCGGAACCCAGGCCTCATGGATCCCAGTTTGCTGTTCTTTTCTATTTTTCATAAACTATCTCAGTTTCCTCATCTGTAAAATGAGCTGGAGAAGGAAATGGCAAACCACTGCAGTATCTTTGCCAACAAGACCCCAAATGGGGTCACGTAGAGTCAGTCATGAAATGTCTGAAAACAACTGAAAATCGTCAGTCTACGAAAACTTGTGCAAGTCACACAGCTTGTGTCTGAGTATCTGCGGCCAGTTTTGAACTCATGAAGATGAGTCTTCCTGATTCCAAGCCCAGTGTTCTATCTATTGCCCTTTTGATAGAATAGACTGACATTAAAATTTTTTGATCAGTAAGCAATTATTTATTAGCTCTCTACTATGTTCTAGGCACTGTGTTAGGTGCTGAGTATGCAAGTAGAAATGGCACAATTCAGATTTGAAGAAAGTAGAGAAAACCATCAGACCATATAGGTATGACCTAAATAATATCCCTTATAAATATGAAGTGGAAGTGATGAATTGATTTAAGGGATTAGATCTGGTAGATAGAACACTTCAGGAACTATGAAAAGAGATTCAAAATATTGTAGAGGAGGCAGCAATAAAAATACCCCCCAAAAAAAAACAACAACTCAGAATGACCCACATTTTATTTTCTGCTTCAGATCATCTATGGCCCATTTGATCCTAGCCTGAGTGAAAAAGTCTACTTTCCTTCTCTTTATCAGATGTCACCCCAGGACTCTTATCTCCATGTGGGGATTTCCCAGCTGACATTGCATTTTAGCTGGAATTGGGTGGGACTGATTGCTCCAGATGATATGAGAGGTGAGAAATTCCTTAATGACGTGAGAAGAGAGATGGCCAGGATCGAAGTCTGTGTGGCATTCACAGAGAAGATCCCTGTCAGTGAGAGACGCCATGCTGAGGCACATGAGAATTCTGTGCCTAGGATTATAAATCATCAGCCGAACTGATTGTGATACATGGTGATGCAGATTCACTAATGATCTTTAGATGTTCATTACCCATTTTTCATATCACAGGGAAATTATGGGTCATCACATCTCACTTGGATATTACTATAGGACCTAAAAACTATCAGGGTTCTATTTTTAATGGAGCTTTAACATTTTCATATCAGACATTTGAGATTCTTGGTTTCAAAACTTTTCTCAGGACAGTTAACCCTTCTAAACATCCAGAGGATTTTTTACTTAAGTCTTTCTGGCATACAGCTTTCCAATGCCAAGATGGACCTACAGAACTGGACCCAGAGGAATGTTCACCCAATGCCTCTTTGGAGACTCTGCATGTGCAGCATTTTGACATGGCCACATCTGACCCAAGTTTCATCATCTACAATGCTGTCTATGCAGCAGCTTGGGCTCTCCATGAAATGCTCCTGAGCAGATGGGATCTAAGAAAGGTTTTAAAAGTCAGGTGCCTCAACCTTGGCAGGTAATGTTACCTAGAGGATGTTGCTTTTGAGGGCCATTTGGCTAAGAAATATTTTCTCCTCCTTTCTTTTTGGATTGGGTAGAAATGATTCTCCTTTACCATTTCTGTCTCCACTTATTTTGAGCGTTCAAGGTGTGAGCTTCTCTGATGATTTCTATCTCTGCTCCACAGTCTCTTTCTCAATGTAGAGGTAGAGAAACAGCCAAGGGACTTTCTGTCCCTGTGGCCACTAGGAGCCAAGATGATTCACTCAGGACATTCTTTGTTGTTGCTAGCTTAAAAAGCTTAAAAAGTACAAATGGTACCCATAAAGTGCATTAAGCTTTGAACCCCCATATGCTTCTTTTGAGCACTAGTCAATAAAGATTTACCAGCCTGTTGGATTTGGTGTAATCAGGCTTTAGTTGATTATTCTCACTCCATTATCACAGTCTCTTTATATCACATGTTGTTAAAGTCAGAAAAAATGCCAGTACTCTTGTCTGTATCTAGAAGATACAAGTAACCAGCAGGTAATCATTAAAATAACAGAGAAATCATTAGCAATGCTTGTTGAATGTGGCAGTGATCCTTAAGGGTAGGTTTTTCTGAGTAGCTTTAATTTAATCACTCTAAGCTAGTTCTCATTATGAAAAGAGTGTCATGCCTGGGAATAGGAAACACTCCAAATGACAAATGGCTTAGAGTCATTCTAGAAAGCATCCTTCATAAGATAGGGAGGTAGAGTAGTGGCTAGAGTGCTAGGCCTGGAGTCAGGCATTCAAATCCAGCCTCAGATTCTAACTAGCTGGGTGATCCTGGACAAGTTACTTTGCCTCTATCTTTTTCAGTTTCCTCAACTGTATAAATAAAATGGTACTACCTTTGAGGGTTGTTGTGAGGATTAAATGAGATAGTATTTGTAAAGTGCTCTGAAAACTTTAAAGCTGTATATAAATGCTGGCTATAAATGGTGGCCTTTTGGTTTCCTCCCCTTTCATTCTAGTCTTAGCTTGTTTCATCTCCTACAAGAGGGTCCGTAGGTTTTTGTAGTTAATACTAAACCCTCCTCCCCATTACTTTTTACTAATATGTGTACTTGTTAACCCACCTCCTCACCTTTGGAGTGGGCAGAGAAGGCTTCATTTGTCTTCTTTCACATTTATTTATTTTAACTGTAATTTATGCTTCCAATGCCTGGAATAGATTCAGGCACAAAAATAAGCACTTAGAAATATTTGTTAAATTGAAGTGAACTCAATTAAATGGAATGAAAAAAGCATGTTTGGTGAAGGATACAGTTTCTATGAAGCAATTACCGAGATTTGTAATAGAATGCCAGTTGGTGGTTGCCCTTTCTCAGAAAAAAGTGAATGGCTCGATGGGGGACATCAAATCATGTTTCCTTTATTCACAAGATTGAGGACTTTTTAGTCCCATTTTTTAGACACAGAGGAACACATCACCTTGAAGAAATGGTGTTAGCTAGTCAAAGGTACATTATTTTGGTGGAGGGAGAGTTAGGGAGAGTGAGAATGTTTTGTAGCAGCTGCAGTAGGAACATATGGGGAAGGAAAAAGGAGTAAGCATTTATCTAATACCCACTTTGTGCCAAGTTCTGTGCTACACCATATGACCTAGCTGCCTCTGAAGAGGTAGAAGAAAGTATGGGGAAACATTCAAGTCATGAGTGTGGTGTGTGAAAAGACACAAGACTAGGTGATGGGATGTCATATCGAGTAAGGAAAAAGTAAGATAATTAGCATTTAGATGACACCTCCTGTGTATCATGTATTATGCTAAGTACTTTACAAGTATTATTTCATTTGTACAAATCTAGTCTGAGTGAATGGGACAGAGTAGGTTAAAATCAAGCTGGAAAGATAAGTTGCTGCCACTTAGTTAAGGACTTTAAATGTCAAGGGGAGGAGGATTATTTTAGCTCTGTTTGTTTTTCATCCTACAGGGAAAGAAAATCACAGAAGAGTGAAACTAGGTAGGTCAGATCTATGAATTCAATTCAGTAAACCTTTATTAAGCACTTACTATGTGCCAGGCACTCTGCTAAGCACTAGGGATACAAATAAAAGAACAACAAAAAAAGATTCCCTCCTACCCTCAAGCCCTTTCAATATAATGGAGAAGACAATACACAAAAGGACACTGAAAAGGTTAAAGGAGGTGAGGATGATACCTGATGCAGGGGCATGGTGGAAAAACTAGAGAAGTCTCACAGTAGTGTAGACAGGTAAAAATTAAGATGTTCTGACCTGAGCTTCCACCTCAAATGGAGCTCTGGGAGTCTTGGATGGTTCCCAAAGGATAGGCATAGTAAGGACTCAATAGAGTTTGATTGTTTTGATTTTTTTTTCATTGTATTTGAATTTATTTAAAACAATACAAAATAAGAAAGAAAAAAACATTGTTATGTACATAGCAGAATGTAAGAGAAGATTTAATATAAAGCAATAAATTCCAGTTTCAAGAAAACCTATATAATAAGTACCTCACATTATTTTTAGAGCTGTCCATCATTTCTTTGTTTCCTTGTATGATTTCTTTTGTCCTCTGCTGTGCACTTTTTACTTTATTTTTCCCCTTACTCCTCCACCCCCAAGAAGACTACAATTATGCATGTACATATATATATATATACATACAAACATGTACATAGATATTCATAAACATACACATATATACACTCAAATGCATTTACGTAACTTACATTATGCTTATTTCTGCTTATCCTCTGTTTCTCTGTATAGCTCTGCAGATGCTCTGAATAGCATCTTCCTTTATAAATTCAAGTCTTCCCATAGTTTTCTAAATCCACCAGCTCATCATTTCCTATATCACAACAATATTCTTAAACAATCACATTCTATCTGGAGATTGTCTATGAGAGTTTTTTCCCCCCAATTTTTCTGCATTCCTTCTATTCTTGGTTATACAGGCTTTATAGAATTGTTACTCTGAACCACGTGATATTCCTGCCCTTTGACCAGTAACATGACCTCCTCTTCCCCTTCAACTCCACTCCTTCCTGAGGAAAGTCCAGTTCAACAACACTATTGGTGACCAGGTAGCTTTGGATGAGAGAAGAAACCCTGTGGCCAAATACGACATCATGAACTACTTGACTTTGCCTAATGATGCTGAATTTCTGGTGAAAGTAGGACAGTTTATCCCCCAGGATCCACCCAGTCAAGGCCTCACCATCTCTGATGAGAGCATAATATGGGGCTGGTCTGTGAAAAAGGTTAGGAACATTTTGAAGTCAATTTTACTCTTTTAATAATTTGAATATGTCTTGCCCTCTTTAGTCTCACATTATAGAATGCCCATATACTTTTCAGTTCTATTTCCTTCTTTCCAAGCTTTTGGATGATATAATTGTAATTATGATCAGGGATACTTCAAACAGTACCAGATTATTTTGACTCCTTCTTCCTTTCTGGAAGAGGCAGGACTGAATCTTAAACTCATCTAGGGCTTACCTGTTTCCACCATGTCCCTTTTCTTTTGCACACTAGAGTCTAGAGATTTCATTACCTAAACTGTATTGCAAGATTTAGCTCACTTGCAGTGTAGGAGACACATAATGATCAGGTCCATATGGCACTTGATCAATTTTTATTTATAATGACTAGTGACAATAACTAAACTTCATTTTGCACCAGGTTCCATTATTTTTAGTTGCCTCATATCAAAAAACAATTCATGGTGACACTCTGAACTTCCCATTACTGCTTCTTTGTTTCTTTGAGTTACCCAAAGAGCCAAACCAATTTCTTTAAATTTTCTAAATTGGTAATCCTTTGGCATAACTATTTAAACCAGAGCAAAGTGATAATCCTTTCTCTATCAAGCAATTAATTAACATTCATTTTATGAGACATATTTTGTAGTCTCATATTGATTGGGGAAGAAAGACATGCAACAACTTTCAAAGGGGCATTGCTTGAAACAATATTCCTCAATCTTTTCTATTCCAGTGGGATTAAGACCCTCTCTGAAATCACATTTTGAAAACTTCAAAAGCATTGACTTTCAAACCCTGAATTTATGCTGTGTCAGCACAAATCAACTCCAACTTTCTTTACTCTTCGACTCATTCTCAACTTTTCTCATTTCCTTACGCAACACTACTCTTTTTTTTTTCTACTTACTTAATTGCTGTAATAAACCCTTTTTTGGTTCATTAGTGGTTACAGATGCACAGTTCATACCAATTTCTTTAAGGGCTTTTGGACAATTAGAATTAGTTACAATCATAGTTTTGTTTTGTAAGTGATAGGCAAATAGATCCCCCAAACAGATCACTCAGTATAACAAGTTACTCATTGTAGGGTGCCCCAGATTTCAGTAAGCAGCATGACTTTGGAGAAGAAAGAATCTATCTTCTCAAAGTTAACCTCTTCTATGCTGGAAAAGCGTTCTTCCAGTTATTTTGGCAATGCCCAAGGGGATTGCTCAAACCCCAACATGGCACAGAATGGAACAGGATTGGTAGCTGGTCATTGTGCTTCATTCTTTAAAAGGACATCACTATGCTGGAGTTAAGTTTCAGTATTTCTGACTGTGGCTGATCAGAGCAATATAATCTCAGTATGTTCTATCACAGGTCGGGCACAAATAGTCCATGTGAGCATTTGGGATGGATTCTCTAAATTTGTGCATCTTTTGTTTCTTTTGAGCTATTTCAAATCTGCTTTAGTCATAGAGCACAACACTTTCTCTGATGTGGGCACACCATGCTGAGCAGTCCTGTGCCAGTGTCTCCCATATCACAAAATCAGTTCCAAAGTTGTTAAGAAAGACCTTGACAGTGTACTTATATCACTTCTTCTGACCACCTTGTGAACACTTCTCCTGTGTGAGTTCTTTATAAAATAGTCCTTTTGGCAAGTGTACTTTTACATCCAAACAATGTGGCCAGTACATTGGAGTTGCACTCTCAGAAACAGAGTCTGAATGCTTGGCAGTTTAGTTTGATGAAAGACCTCAGTGTCTGGTATCTTACCCTGCCACGTGATCTTCAGAATCTTCCTAAAACTATTCAAATGGAAGCAATTCAGTTTCCTAGCATGGAGCTTCATATGCTGTCCAGCTTTCATAGGCATATAACAATGAGGTCAACACAATGGCTCTGTAGACCTTCAGTTTGGTAGTCAGTCTAATACCTCTTCTTTCCCATACTTTTCTTTGGAGCCTCACAAACACTGAGCTAGCTCTGGAAATGCATGCATCAACCTCATTATCACTGTGTACATCCCTGGAAAGTATACTGCCAAGGTAAGTGAACTTATCCACAGCATGCAAAATTTCTTCATTTGCTTTAACCAATGGTTCAACATATGTATTGTGTGGTGACAAATTACACTACTGGAAAACTATATAGTAGAGATTATACTTTTCTAAAGGACTCAGGGTATAATTTTTTCTCTGTTTCCTTTCAAATCATTCAAAATCAAATGCATTTATTTTGTTTCAAAAATAATTTGAAAGTTCTTTTTCTTATCAAAACTTCAGTATTTTGTAACGAAGTACTATGCTCATTTTAGTTTGATCTTTTCTAATTTGAACACCGTCTATTAGGTGTGCATGCACTTAATTTATTTCTGTATCTTATTTTTATATACATATTCTTGTTTAATTCTATTTTCAATGATTCTTTCCCTAACTTAGGCCATAGCCTTATACAATTTGAACTTATTTTCACTAAACAATTGATTTCAATGCAAGTTTTACTTTACAGGAGTTTCTAATTTACATAAAGAATTGATTTAAACTACAGTAGTGTATACCTAACTGAATGCAGAATTTCAAAGAATAGCAAGCAGAGATAAGGAGGTTTTCTTAAGTGAGCAATGCAAAGATGCAGAAGAAAACAATAGAATAGGAAAGAGAAAAGATCTCTTCAAGAAAACCAGAACTATCAAGGGAAAGTTTCAAGGGACTTAACATAGCAGCAGAGATTAAGAAGATATGGCAAGAATACACAAAAGAAGTATACAAGAAAGATCTTAACATCAAGATAATAATGATGCTGTGGTTACTGATCTAGAGCCAGACTTCCTGGAGAATGAAGTCAAGTGGGCTTTCCAAAGTATTGCTAACAATAAGGCTAGTGAAAGTGATGGTCCAACTGAGCTATTTAAAATCCTAAGTGATGATGTTGTTGAAATGCTGCATTTGATACGAAGCAAAATTAGAAAACTCAACAGTGGTCACTGGATTAGAAAATATCAGTTTATATCCCAATATTAAGTAAGGGCCAATGCTAAGGAGTGTTCAAATTATCAAACAATTGTACTCATTTCACACATCACCAATGTTATGCTTAAGATTCTGCAAGTTAGGCTTCAGCAATTTGTGCACCAAGAATTACCAGAAGAGTAAGCTGGCTTTTGAAGAGGCAGAGAAATTAGAGACCAAACATTCGTGGGATCATGGAGAAAGCAAGAGAGTTCTAGAAAAAAAATACTTCTGCTTCATTAACTACACTAAAGCCTTTGACTGTGTGGATCACAATAAAATATGGCAAGTCCTCAAAGCAGTAGGAGTACCATAACATCGGATTTGTCTCCTGAAGAACCTGTATGGGGGCAAAGACATAACAGTGAGAACTGAACATGGCACAACTAATTGGTTTAAGATTAGAAAAGTGGAAAATATGTATATTATCACCTTATTTTTTAAAGTTATATGCAGAGTACATAATTTGAAATGCCAGGCTGGATGAATCAAAAACTAGAATTAAGGTTGCCAGAGAAAATATCAACAATCTCAGATATACAGATGATGCAATCTAAGTGAAAAGGAATTAAGAAACCTCTTAATGAGGTGAAATCGGAGTGTTTGAAAAAGCTGGTTTGAAGCTTAAAACAAACAAACAACAAACTAAAACCTAAGATCTCAGCAACTAGTCTCATCACTTACTGGAAAATAGAGAAGAAATGGAAGCAGTATCAGATTTTATATTCTTGGGCTCAAAGATCACTGCAGAGCATAACTGCAGTCATGATAATTAAAAGACACTTGCTCCATGGAAGGAAAGCTATGGCAAATCTGGACAGTATACTAAAAAGCAGACATCACCTTGTCAACCAACGTCTGTATAGTCAAGACTATGGTTTTTCTAGTAGCAAAACATGGTTGTAAGAATCAGACTATAAGGAAAGCTAAGTACGGCAGAATTGACACTTTCAAATTGTGGTGCTGGAGAAGGATTTTGAGAGTCCCTTGGACAGCAAGGAGGTCAAATCACTAATACCTAAAGAAATAAATTCACACTGTTCACTGGAAAGTCAAATATTGAAGCTGAATCTATAATACTTTGGCCACATAGTGAAAATATGGGACTCACTGGAAAAGACCTTGATGCTGGGGAAGATTGAAGGCAAAAGGAAAAGGGGACAGCAGAAGATGAGATGAATATGATAGTATCATTGAAAAAAATGAACATGAACTTGGAAAGACCTCAAGAGATAGTGGAGGATAGAAGGGCCTGGCATGCTATAGTCCATGGGGTCAAGAAAAATTAAACATGACAGAAGAACAACAAATTCAACTGAGTATTCTAGAAGGTTAAGAGGATCAGCCCCAGTCATGCAGCTATTGAACAACTTGACTAGTATCACTGAACTCTTCAATTCATAACAAGCTCTTCAGCATCATTTTTTTAAACAAGCAATTTTTAAATATCCATGATTGATCCTATCTCTGCTAGTTCTCAAATCCAAGGGACGTTCCATTCTACCACTGAAGACTTTTACTTGGATTTTACTCTCTTATTCATGGAGAACAGAGGATCAATTCTGTAGCATGCTTACCAAATAAACTATGATTTCCTGACCAAAACATATTTTATTAGTCTTAGGGAACAACACACTTTCCCCCATGCCATGAATGATTTGACCTGTTATATACATTTTTTCCTTTTAAAATATTTTATTGATGCTGGTTTCTTTATTCATATAGCTATAAAGTCATTATCTTCCTTCCCTCTCACCAAAATGCAGTCCTTTCTTGTAATGCTGAGTACAGCAAAACAAATCAACAAGTTGGTCATTTATGTTAACATATATATATTTTTTCTTTATCACCTAGAATCTCTTCTAAAACACTGGAGATCACATGCCTTAAAAAGTTCCTGAATTCACACTTGTTACTACACTGAACAGAATTTTGATGATTTTCAACTAAAATTTGCTTCATAACTATTCTCCTGGTTCTGCTTATTTTGTTCTGCATTAATTAATACAAATCCTCGTGTTTCCTTGGATTCTTCATATTTTTCATTTTTGTGATGCAATTATATTCCATCACATTCCTTTTCAATAATTCTGCCATTTCCCAATAAATAGGCATGTAATAGCCTTCAAGTTCTTTGCTACTTCAAAAATGCTACTATACACTTTTAAACTAGTCACAAAAGATTCTAAAATGGTTTATACCCTTTGGTTCAGCTATTTCTAAGCCTGCATCTCAAAGGAATTAGAGAAATGTACAAAAATCTTGATAGCAACTCCTTTTTATGGTGGCCAAAAGTTGGAAATTCAGAAACTGATAAACATATTGTGGCATGTGAATATAATCAAATACTGTTATGCCATCAGAAATGTTGAAATAGGTAACTTCGGAGGAAACTAGTAAGACACTATGAACTGATGCAGTCAAATGAACTGAATTAAGTGAACGATTTATAGAGTGATAACAACATAGGGAAAAAAACATCTGTGAAAGACTTCAGGACTCTGACAACAGAATGATAATCCTCAACTCCAAAAGAGTGGAGATGAAACAAGTAATTAAACTCCTGACAGAGAAGCAATGAACTTGAAATGCAAAAAAAGGACATACAGTTTCAGACATGGTCAACGTGGAATTTTTTTTTCTAGGCTAAACAGCCATGTTTTTAAAACCTTATTTTGTGTGTGTGTGTGTTGCTGGTTATTGTTGTTTGTCCATTTGTTTTGATTTTTTTGTTTTTGGAAGGTTAACAGTCAATAAGCATTTATTACATACTTGCTATGTGCCACGCAATGGGCTAAGCACTGGGGATACAAGAAAGGCAAAAGATAGTTCCCGTTCTCAAGCAGTTCAAAATGTAATTGGAGGGACAATGAATAAAATCATGTATAAATAAGCTGCATATAGGATGAATAAGAAGTGAGAGATGGAAGATGCTAGAATTAAGAGGGGTTGGGAAAGACTTCCTGTAGAAGGTAGGATTTTGGTTGAGACTTGAAGGAAGCTAGAAAAGGTGGAAATGAAGAGAAAGAGCATTTCAGGCATGGAGAACGATGAGAGAAAATGCTCAAAGTAGGAAGAGAACTGATAAATAATAAAGCACACATACATTCATACGCAGAAAAAAAGTAGTGCTGATCTAAATATTTTTTAGTAACTGGGACATCCCCTATGTCTTTGGTCTTGGAGGATATGTGCATTATAGGGTATTCACTGCTAAAAAAAAAAAAGAGGGTCTGTAGCTTAATGACTTTTTTTTAGTATAATTAAAATTATTGTCTGGAATGTTTGAACCAATTCCAAACTACACTAACACTGAATTAATGAGTCAGAATTCTATAGTCCTTCCATTTCCCATTTTTACCTTTTGTCATCTTTGCCAATCTGGTAGATCTGAGGTGAGGAATCAGCATGTCAAATGAGCATCTCTTAGTTTTGGTGAATGAAGTGTTTTGTTTTCATAGAGGAATTGATAGTTTGTATCACCTTTCTACAATACTAACCATTCAGACAGAGCCGAGATGGCAGAGTGAAGGTAGGGACTTGCCTGAGCTCTCCTGCTAACCCTCCAAATACCTCCACAAATAACTCTAAACACATTCTAGAGCAGCAGAACCCACAAAAAGATGGAGTGAAACCAACTTCGAGTCCAAGACAACTTGGAAGGGCAGCAGGAAAGGTCTGTTGCACTAGGGTGAATGAGGAGCACACTCAAGCAGAGGCCATGCCAGCACAGACTCGGCCCCAGCAAATCCAGAGCAGGCCTTGGGGTGATTGAATCAATGGCAGCAGTGGTAGTTTCCAAACCTCTTAGCCCACAGATACCAAAGACAACTTAGAAGGGCAGCAGGAAAGGCCTGTCATGTCTGAGTGAGAGTGGATTACAGTCTAGCACAGGCCTTGTCAGCATAGCTGAGGCCCTAGCAAACCAGGAGAAGGTCTTGGGAATGATTAAATCAGCAGTGGCAGCAGAACTGACTGCTTCTGGAGCTGTTGGCCCACAGACAGTAAGGGGGTCAAACAACTGGTCAGAAGGAAATTACAGAAGTCTCTTTGTTAGCACTGAGGCCGGACTCTGTTGCTTTGCCCATAGGTGAATCCTGCTCGCAGTGCTGGGTGGCAGTGTCAGATGAAAGGAGTACTAGCACAGCAGAGCTTGTGGCCACAGTGCAGGGTGGAAACTCCTCACAGTTCCAGGCAGAAAAGAGTGCGTGTGTTACTCACAGACAAGAGCACTGGCCAGGAGAGTGGTAAACACACCTTTCCTTGGATCATCCCACCTTGGAAGAACTGAAAACTTATAGATCCCTAGAAATATCTCTGAAAATAGCTGCACAAAACCCCTGAAGCTTGGGACAGTTCACCCTCCACCCTGTTAGCAATGCTCTATCTTAACAAAGTTAAAAAGTCAAGTAATAGGCTGGGGAAATGAGCAAACAATGGGAAAAAAAACTCTGATTATTGAAAGTTACTATGGTGATAAGGAAGATCAAAACACTCAGAAGACAACAAAGTCAAAACTCCTACATCGAAAGAATCCAACAAAAATATGAATCAGTCCCAGGCCACGGAAGAGCTCAAAAAGGATTTTGAAAATCAAGTATGAAAACTAGAGGAAAAATTGGGAAGAGAAATGAGATTGATGCAAGAAAATAATTAAAAAAACAAGTCAACAGCTTGGTAAAGGAGACACAAAAAACACTGAAGAAAATAATACCTTAAATAAAGTAACCATTCTTATTATCATAGAAAAGAAAACCACTATTTACACTGTAGAGTACTTCAATTAAAAAAGTGAGGAGAGAACTTTATTTTGTCCAAACTTACATATAAAGTCAGAGAGAAAGATTGCCCGTGGAGATAGACTGTTCCTGTGAAGCAAGAGGAGTTCTCAAAATAAGCCATTTCCCCCAATTATTTAAAAGGAACATGCACATACCCCACCATATATAATCATGCTGTATTAACAACCAGTCAGGCATGGAGTTTGGGAACAGCTTGTTGATTTTGGGGGTATAGGGATATTCCTAATGTCCTAGTTTGTTAGTGGCTTGAGGATCCAAGATTGGAAGAAATATATTAGTCTATTAGTTATCTTTGCCCAAAAACTGGATTGGAGGATGACTGAAATATAAACAACACAATGGAGATTTATTCTACACTATAATTTCTCATGTAAAGAGAGGGAAAAGATAAAAATCTTCTCCATAATCTCACAGTATTTTTAACTGCTTTTCAATTTGGTAATGTCTCTTTTTCCAATCTTTATCAGACAAATTTCCTGCAAAAATATTCTCCTCGATCAAACATTATACTTATGAATCTCTCATTGAATTTTTTTTTTAATCTTTAATTTCATATTAGGGTCATTGTCTATTTTATCTTCCATGATTATCTCTCCTTTGTCTAATTTAGATTTCTTCCCCTAGCCACAATTGTAAATAATAATTCATTCCATTCTAATATTTTTAAATGATGTGACATTTCATAATAAGTGATATCTCTCTTTTAAATTTATCCTGGCATATGGTGCAAGATGTTGATCTAAATCTCATTTCTGTCATATAGCTTTCTGGTATTAACAAAGTCATCTTCTTTATTTGTCTTGTGTCAAACAGTTAATGCCAAAGTAGTTGATGCCACCGAATTTTTGAACACTAAGTTACATAGAGTGCTTGATACATTTTTATTGTCTAGTGAACTGTCCAATTTTTTCTGCTACTTTTTTTTTCTAAAGTAGAAACTGTTGTTACTATTTTAATCCAGTGCCAATTGTTCTGCGGCTCCATGCATTTCTTATCTTTGTTACCACTTAGACTCCCAAGGCTGTGTGCACTGAGAGCTGTGGGATTGGATTCAGGAAAACTGCTCATGAAGGGGAGCCTGGCTGTTGCTTTGACTATGTCTGGTGCTCAGAAGGAGAAATTTCTAATCAAAAGGGTAAGTGTCTGAAGATTACACAATTTACCAACATCAAAGACCTTCCTTTCCCTAATCCAGTGGAGGAGAAAAAAAAATAGCATTGAGCTTCTGTAGCCAGATGCAAATCACGTGGGCATTCCTATGTGAGGCATATTTTATTGAATATAGTAGGACAGTAATATTTCTAAAGCACTTAGCACAGTGCCTGGAACATAGTGGGGACCGTATGAAGGCTAGGTGGTGGTGGTAGTAGTAGTAGTAGCAGTAGTAGTAGTAGTGGTAGTAGTAGTAGTAGTAGTAGTAGTAGTAGTAGTAGTAGTAGTAGTAGTAGTAGGCAGAGTGGTTGTGGTGGTCATGGTGGTTGTGGTGTTAGGAGTAATCATCGTCATAGTTGTTGTAGTAGTACAGTTTCCCTTTTGGTCACATGGATTTATGATCAATAGGTAAAGAGAAGAAGAGGATGATCATTGAATCTGAATCATTTTGAATATATTTCACAGTAAAAGTTTCTATTAAGGTCATGCTAAAGAATTTCCTAGCTGAAAGAGATTTTTGTCAGACAGAAAAATCTGATGTGGGTGTTGAGATCAGATAGGGGCTAATGTAAACTTCCAACTGGAGGATGGAGGGTCAATTTCAAGTAGAGTTATTTGTAGCTTATGTATACAGATATTGATATGGTTAATTCAAGACGTCATAGAAAAATATTTAGTAATTGTGTTTATGATTTTTTTAGTTGTAGTAGCCACAGTCATAGTTGTCATTATAGTAGTAGTGTGTAGGTGACTTAAAATATTTCATTGAATTTAGCACAGTGTGCATGGAATAAGTGCTTGACTATTAATTGGTTGATAGGATTGAAAGCTACTAAGAATAATAGCCATAATAATATACATTATTTATATAGTGCATTAGGTTTTGCAACACACTTTACCAATACCTCGTCTTAAACACACAACAACCCTTGATGGTAGATATAACTTGTGTCAGTCACAGATTCTCAGACAGAGGCAGTCAGCTATTCCAATCCACATCCAATCAGTCATTCTGCAATAATCCTGAGAAGTGATAATCTGCCTCTCTATTTGCTGATCATTAAAAGTGAAAGCCAAAGTACTACTGACAGTAGATACTTTTCAATACTATGCAGTGCTTGATAACAATGTAGTCAGAACTCTGTTCTGGATCCTCAGATCTTGATTACATTAAGAGTTTTAAAATAGGCCAGTTTTATGTCTACTCTGTCATCTAACCAAGTTTGACTGAATGAGTTTGATTCAGAATGTCTCACTCCATTTCCTCCTTCTGCCTTTTGGTACTTCTCCTCCAGACAACCAGAACCCTCTAACTACCTGCTGATTACATAAAATCAACCAGCACATCCCACTATCCAGCTAGAACTCCAAGATCAGGAACTTTCTAGACACAGAATTACAGTAACTCACTAGAGGAAGAAACTTTATAAATCTCTTAGTTCAATCTATACTTGATTGAGAATTCATCCTTTGACACCATCAATGAAGGCTCGGTCTTCTGGCCTTTGTGTCAGGATCTTGAGGGGAAAAGCCTCCACTGCACCTTGACAGGCAGACCATCTCACTTCTGGACAACTCCAACTGTGAAGATCTTGTCATTCCTGATGCTGGACCAAAATTTACCTGTCTTCCAACAACTGAGTCTAGCTCTGTCCTCCAGAGTCAAACAGAATAACGACAGCAACAGTAGCAGCAGCAGCAACAAGTAGCATTTAAGGTTTTCAAAGAGCATTTACTTAAGTTGCCTCACTTGGTTCTCACAATGACCTTGTAAGTTAGGTGTTATTATTACTCCCATTTCAAGGAAGAAGAAATAGAAGCTGAAAGGGGTTAAATGATTTGCTTCAGGTCATACTGATATGTAGTGTCTTCTTCAGGATTTAGGGGAGCTAAGTGGCATAGTGGATAGAGTGCTGGGCTTCCCTCAAGGAAGCCTTGAATTCAGATCTGGCCTCAGACATTTACTACCTGTATGACCCTGGACAAGTCCCTTAATCCTGTTTACCTGAGCTGGAGAAGGAAATGGCAAACCACTACAGTATCTTTGCCAAGAAAATCCCAAATGGGCTGATGAAGAGTTGGGCGTGACTGAACAACAACAGCACTTTATGGATATTTAAGTGGAGTGGAGAAGAGGAGAGAGTTGAGGACAATGGAAGATTTTTGACCTCATTCATTATAAGAGTGGTGGTGCTCTTGGCAGAAATAGGGAAAGTAGGAAGAGTGTTGGTCTTCCAGTTGTCCAGCCTGTGTGGAGACATTCTGGGCAACCTTGGATCAGAGGGAAGTCAGAGAGGGAATAAATACCGATTCTTTGGTTTGACAATTTTCAAGATGTCTTCCACATTCCTCTCTTCCATGCCCCCTTGGGTGGAAATGACCAGTCTTACCGACTTTTCATGAGAGAACACATTGTATGTCTCGTATCAGTGCCTTTGCCTTCAAAAGAAATAGGAATATTAGGAAAATGGACCATTCAAGGAGAAATGATAGCAAAAACTAGTTCCTGTCAATCTCAAATGATACATACCAATAATTGAAGTCATCTAAATACATGAAATTATGAAGGATTTGAATCAATTGAATCAATGCTTTTTAACTTCTAGGAAACTGAGTTTGTCCTGTCTCAATTAAGATAAGATGTGGAATATCTGGTGCACTTGGATCCACAGGGAATTATTTTGGGTTAATGTGATATCCTATTATGGCCATAGGAAGAATTTTTTGACCATGTTACAATGACACTCTATTTGTGCCCTGTAGATGTGGACCATTGTGTGAAGTGCCCAGTATATCAGTACCCAAATGAAGAAAGGAATCAGTACCTCACCAAAGTAGTGATTTTTCGAGAGGCAGCTAGGTGGCACAGTGGATAGAGCACCAGCCCTGAAGTCAGGAGTACCTGAGTTCAAATCTGGCCTCAGACTAAGCACTTGACAGTTACTACCAGTGTGACCCTGGGCAAGTCACTTAACCCCAATTGCCTAAACAAACAAACAAACAAACAAAACAAAGTAGTGACTTTTCTTGCCTATGAAGACTTTTTGGGAATCGCTCTGGCCTGCACAGCTATTTTCTTCTCCTTCCTCACAGTTCTGGTATTCCTGGTTTTTGTGAAGTTCTGGGACACTCCCATAGTCAAAGCCAATAACCAAGACCTCAGCTACATTCTCCTCATCTCCCTGACCCTCTGTTTCCTTTCTTCTCTGTTCTTCATTGGGCGACCTACTAATGTAACCTGTCTATTTCAGCAAACAACATTTAGGATTGTGTTCACTGTGGCTGTTTCCTCCATTTTGGCCAAAACCATGACTGTGACTCTGGCCTTTAAGGCTACAAGACCAAGAAGCTGGATTAGGATACTGGCGCAGCCTAGGGTGTCCAATTCTCTTCTCCTCATATGTTCTATGATCCAAATGACAATCTGTGGCATTTAGCTGGGAATGTCTCCCCCTTTCCCAGACACAGATCCATGCTCTGAACCTGGATACATCATCACTGAGTGTAAAGATGGCTCCACCTTTGCCTTCTACTGTGTCCTGGGCTACATGGGTGTCCTGGCCTTGGGCAGCTTCATGTTATCTTTCCTTGCCAGAAACCTCCCTGACACCTTCAATGAAGCCAACTTCATCAGTTTCAGCATGCTGGTGTTCTTCAGTGTCTGGATCTCCTTCCTCCCCACATACCAGAGCACCAAGGGGAAGGCCATGGTGGCTGTGGAGATCTTTGCCATCTTGGCCTCCCGTGCTGGCTTATTAGGCTGCATCTTTATCACCAAGTGCTATGTGATCCATCTGAAGCCACACAGGAACACCCTGCAATGGATAAAGAATAAAGGAGATTCTGGAGCCAGGAATAGATCTTAACTTTTTCCTTGGAAGCCTTGTTGGTAACAGGTTTTTGTCTTTCTTCATATCCTCAGCAATATGTGTGTTCATTTGTTTCAGTCATGTCTAACTCTTTGTGACCCCATTTAGGGTTTTCTTGGCAAAGGTACTGGAATGATTTGCCATTTCCTTCTCCAGTTCACTTGACAGATGACAAAACTGAGACAAACAGGGTTCAGTGACTTGCCCAGGGTCACACAACTAGGAAGTGTCTGAGCCAGATGAACTCAGGAAGATGAATCTTCCTGACTCCAGTCCCAGCACTCTCTTCACTGTACCACTTAGCTGCACAAGTGCTTATATTCCTAGTGCTTAGCACCATATCTGAAAAATGCTAAGTGCTTTACAGAGATTAAAGTGTTTATTGACTGACTGACTTAGGAAACTATTGAAAAATTATACATATCACTCTTGTGTATGTATCAAGTGAAGCCTGGTTTGCTATGAAATACATTCATAGCAGAATCTTCACTCAGAAGACCATCCCAACTTCTCCAATGTTGTCAATAGAACATCTCACACAATGTGGAAGGAATATTTTACTCTTTTCTTTGTTGGGCATAATAATCCCATTCCAGATTCCTGACCATTATTTCACCATGATGTCTATGGGAAGCACTGCTTGTCTATTTCTTAAGTGACTTTTCACCTCATTAAGCTCCCTTTTACCTCCTATCTAGATTATTGAATGACTATGATTCTTTCCTCTGTCCCTGCCCAGAGTAGTCTATCTGCACAGAGTTTAACAATTCCTTTTCATCAACATAATTTTTTTAACATTTGAATTTATGTATTTTTAGTTTTTGACATTCACTTCCACAAGATTTTAAGTTCCAAATTTTCTCCCCATTTCATCCTTCCCTCCACCCCAAGATGGCATGCATTATGAATACCCCTTCCCCTAATATGCCTTCCCTTCTATCTCTCCTCCCCATTTCTCCTCCCCTTCTCCTTCTATTTTCCTATAGGAAAGGATAATTTCTATAGCCCATTTCTTATTTCCCAGATGCATGCAAAAGCAATTTTTGTTAACATGTGTTTTTAAAACTTTGGGTTCCAAACTTTCTTCCTTCCTCCCTCCCTACCCACCCTCATTGAAAAGGCAATACAGGTTATACATGTGTAGTTATGCAAAACACTTCCATAGTAGTCATGTTGTGAAAAACTAACTATATTTCCCTTAATCCTATCCCACCCCTCATTTATTCTATTCTCTCTTTTGACCCTGAACCTCCTCAGAAGTCAGCTTCTGATTACCCCCTTCCCTAATCTGCCCTCCCCTCTATCATCACCCTGCTCTCTTGTCCCCTTGCCCCCCTATTTTCCTGTAGGGTAAGATGGATTTCCATATCCAATTGAATGTGTATGTTATTCCCTCCTTAAGCCAAATCCTATGAGAGTAAGATTCACTCATTCCCTCTCACCTTTCCCTGTTTCCCCTCCACTGTAAAAGCCTTTTCTTGTCTGTTTTATGTGAGATAATTTACCCCATTCTACCTCTCCTTTTCTCCTTCTCCCAGTATAATCCTCTCTCACCCCTTAATTTCATTCTCCAGATATCACCCCTTCATCTTCCATTTACCCTGTGCCATCTATTTATCTATGTATCTATGTATCTATCTATCTGATACATACATATGATTTTTCCACTACAACTACCTGAATACTGACAAAGGTCTTTTGAGTTACAAATATCATGCTTCCATGCAGGAATATAAACAGTTCAACCTTAATAAGTCTCTTATGATTTCTCTTTCCTGTTTACCTCTTCATGTTTCACTTGAGTCTTGTATTAGAAAGTCAAATTTTCTATTCAGTTCTGGTCTTTTCATCAAGAATGCTTGAAAGTCTTCTATTTCACTGAATTAGCATTCTCCCCCCAAAAGATGATACTCAGTTTTGCTGGGTAGGTGACTCTTGGTTGTAATCCCATCTCCTTTGCACTCCAGAATATTATATTCTATGCCTCCAGTCCCTTAATGTAGAAGCTGCTAAATCTTACATTATCCTGATTGTGTTTCCACAATACTTGAATTGTTTCTTTCTGGCTGCTTGCATATTTGCTCCTTGATCTGGGAATTCTGGTTGGCTACAATGTTCCTAGGAGTTTTCCTTTTGGAATCTTTTTCAGGAGGTTATTAGTGGATTCTTTCCATTTCTATTTTGCTGCCTGGTTCTAAAGTGTCAGGGCAGTTCTCCTTGATAATTTCTTGAAAGATGATATCTAGGATCTTTTTTTGGTCATGGCTTTCATGAAGTCCAATAGTTTCTAAATTACCTCTCCTGAATCTATTTTCCAGGTCTGTTTTTTTGTTTTTGTTTTTGTTTTTGGCTAGGCAATGGAGTTAAGTGACTTGCCCAGGGTCACAAAGCTAGTAAGTGTTATGTGTCTGAGGCCAGATTTTAACTCAGGTCCTGCTGAATCCAGGGCTAATGCTCTATCTACTGCACCACCTAGCTGCCCTCAGTTGCTTTTCCAATGAGATATTTCACATTGGTTTCTAATTTTTAATTCTTTTGGATTTGTTTTACAGTGTCTTGATTTCTCATAAAGTCATTAGCTTCCAATTGTTTTATTCTAATTTTTAAGGAAGTATTTTCTTCAATAAGTTTTTGGACTTCTTTTTCCACTTGGCCAATTTTGCTTTTCAAGGCATTATTCTCTTCATTGGCCTTTTGGACTTCTTTTGCCATTTGGGTTAGGCTATTTTTTAAGGTGTTATTTTCTTCAGCATTTTTTTTTGGGGGGGTCTCCTTTAGCAAGCTGTTGGCTTGTTTTTCATGAGTTTCTTGCATCACTCTCATTTCTCTTCCCAGTTTTTCCTCTACTTCTCTTACTTGCTTCTCAAAATCCTCTTTGAGCTCTTCCATGGCTTAGGACTGGTTCATATTTTTCTTGGAGGCTTTAGATGTAGGAGCTTTGACTTTGTTGTCTTCTTCTGTTTGTATATTTTGATCTTTGTTATCAAGGAAAGATTCTATGATCTGACTTCATTTTTGCTCATGATCTCAGCCAATTACTTGAGTTTTAAGCTCTTTATTACGGTAGGAGTCTGCTTCCAGTGTGGAGGATGTACTGTCCCAAGTTTCAGGGGTTTTGTGAAGCTGTTTTCAGAGATATTTCTAGGGACCTGTAAATTATCAGTTCTTCCAAAGTGGTATGAAAAGGCGAGATGTTTTCACCTTTCCTGGCCTGTGCTCTGGTCTATGAGTGACCACAAACACTTTTCTGCCTTGGAACTGTGAGGAGGATTGTCTCTGTACCACAGCTTCAAGCTCCACCACTCCAGCTTTCCTCCTCACCCCAGGACCGCCACCCAGAGCTGTGACCCAGATCCAAGCTTAACCAAAGCAAGAGAATCCTGCCTCAGCACTGGCAAAGAGATCCCTGCAATCCCCCTTTGATCAGCCACTCGATTTCCCCTTAGTCTGTGGGCTGGAAGCTCTGGAAGCAGCTGCTATATCAGGGCTGTGTGTGGGGACTGGGGCTGGGACTGCACTTGTCTCTCACCATAGCCACAGACTTTTCCACCAATCTTCTGAGTTGTCTTCGGTGTTCATGAGTTGAGAAGTTTGGAAACTGCTGTGGACTGCTCTAGGTTCACTGAGGCCTGGTCTTTGACTGTGTGCCCACGCGGAATTGCATTTCTCTCCCTGCCTGACATGATATACCTTTCTGTTCAACCATCCAGGCTGTCTTGGGATGGAGGTTTGTTTCACTCTGTCTTTTTGTGGGTCCTGCTGCTTTAAAATTGTTTACAGCCATTTTTTACAGGTATTTGAAGGGGTTTGGGGGAGAGCTCAAGCAAGTCACTGCTTTGACTCTGCCATCTTGTCTCCACCCTCCAACATAATTTTCCATGATATTCATTCTGTGCTTAAAACCTCATAGTAGTCTCATATTGTCCTTTGTTTTTGACCCTTTCTTCACAATGAATTTTTGGTATCTTTTCTTGGTGACACCATTGGGTATTTTTCCTTGATTATAGAATTTGGACCCATGAATAGCCTGTGAACTAACAAACCATGAAGTTATACAGTCAGATGGAATCATATTCCTTATTTCATGAAATTCCATGGTTTCTAGCAAAAGCAATGTCAATAACCTCATGTAATGTCTGCTGGGATAGGATCACAATGATGATGGAAGAGTTGAGCATCACAGTGTATCCCTGCAAGAGGGGACTTTTCTTCCTTGTGAAAGAGCTTGAGAAACTTTCCATAGATTCTTTGGGGAGACCACCAATCAATGTGTCTTCAAATCTGGAGGCATGATTGCCTCCCACTAACTCAACTGAAGATGAATTGGAAGGAGAGAATATTGACAATTTTCTTTCCCTCCTCTAGTTTCCCTGAAGACATTGAATACTTACATCATGTGGTTGAGGTTTCAAGGTGTGTTGTGGAGTCATCTTGAAATAATTCACAGACTCAGACCATCTCCAAACCAAATGAAGACATTTATTGAGAGTTATGCTCCTCAGAAAGTGGGCTGGGCTCCAAGAAGGAACCAGTAGCTTATCAGAGCAAGACAGGGATTTTTATAGAGCAATAGATGCAACTATGTCAGTATAGAATATATGAATATTTAAGTATAAGAGGGATTTATTGATATGAGAAGGGTCCTAGCCTTGGAATTTTGCATGTGGCTACCCACAATGAATACAGAGAAGCCCATGTAGGGGAGGCATTTATATATGATAATGATATTATAATAAGCCTCTCTAGCTTACAAGTTCACCTTAGGACAGTTCTTTCCTATTACTGCACAGGCATCCACTCAGGCTGTGATGTAGTGGTCAAACATCCTGGTCTATGTCCCGTTGGTGCTGCTTTCTGATTGGCTGGCTATAGTGGTCCCATATGGGGTAAAATGTCTGGCTGCTATTGTGGTCCTGCCTTAAGATTAGATGGATGTGGTTGACACACCTGCTGTTCTAGTGAGGCAATGAGGCATATGAGGAAGTTGAGATATTGGGGGTGGGTGCTATGGCTAGATTGGGCCTGGGGGCCTTCATTCTCCCCTCAAATAGCTGGGACCCAAATTCATTTGAGAGAAGGACAAAGGTCTCAGCTCCTGAAAAAGAGGCTTCCTTGCCTCAATTGGTCCTGGAGGGGAGGTTGACTGGAACCAAGCATAGGCCACATCCAGGGGATGATGGGTGAGTATGAGCTGGTATCCACGGTTTGCTACCAACTGTAGGTGAATGGCCTGTAGTCTGGAAGACACAAATCTGACAAGCAAGTTCAATATGCAGCACCCAAATATAAGGAGAATTAAAAATGATGTCAGAATGGGGGAAAACAAACAAACAAAAAGAAACCAAGAGCCCCATGATGCTATTATTTACTTTTGATACACAGTATTATCTGCTCTTGTTATTTTCTCAAAGGTTTCAGCTCTAATTCCAATTCCTTTAGGAGGATCAAATTGCTATTGAGAATCCAACCCTATACACGTAAATATAAGCAACAGCACTTTTGCAGATAGAAGCTTTCCATCCCTGAATTCAATAGTTATACAAACGAATTTACTTATGAGGTTAACTTTACTCCAATTATAATTTTTAAAAAATTGGGAGCATTCTTAAGTAATTAATTCCAAAATAGTGAATATAAGTTGTTTATAATAAAACATGTTTGCAATGAAATTGACTTTTATTCCTTAAGTTAATTCCCTTTAAGAAAATTGATTACACTGAAATTCTCTTTCCCAAACCCAACTAAAGATGTTTATGATTTAGTTTCACTAATTAATAAAATAACAGTTAGGTCCCTCAATCAGTTGTACTAATTCCCAACTATTCTTATATCATTTAAGGGCCTTATTTATCTTTGAGCTGTACTGAAATGCTATTCCTTTAACATAGACAAAAGAGGTTCCTGATTTTAACTTCACATCTTAATAGATTTACAATCTTTGTTTCACAAGCTTGTTTACTTTTCTCTATTTATTATACTCATCATTCTGAAAGAATGAGATACTTCAGGAATTGAATCATATACCCATGATAAGTTTAGACACTAATTTAACTCTTGCTTAGGCCATGGAATGACTACAAAGTCATGTCAAAGCAGCAATATCTCACATACTTACATTGTGCTCATATATTTTACTGACCACTTGTTCTGTTTATAGGAATCTGCTAGTAAAGGAAAAAGTATGAGAATGATTATACAAAATATGACAGGATAAAACATCTTTAACTCTGATTTCAGGTAAGAGTCGCAGTCTGTAACATTTTTACCTCATAGTCAGGCTCAGGAATGGCCAGGTGGGAAACATTCCTTTTCAAAGGAATGCAATGGGGAAACTAAGACAGGAGGATCCCACCTTAGGCTGATGCCTAGATTGTCCTCTTAGCTTTCCTGAGAAAAAAATATCCACCTGTAACAGTTCAGGATCACATTCCGTCTGAGTAGCTTGTGGCACTTCATTCAAATGGTGGATTGCTGATTTAATGCAAACAGCTATACTTCAAACTCAAAGCAAAATTAGAGTCCCAAGAGCTTTTATCTCAAATGGCAACTTTCACCAATCAGTGTGTGACTAGATACAATTATTTTTGCTTTTATGGAGTTGCAATAAGCAATAAAAATTTACCAGGATTTATGTATATAAAAGATTTCACTTAGCCTCTTCCACCTGTTTTTCTTTCCTTCTCAAATTTAAATTTATCCTGGTATAAAGATAAACGGTCAAAACTTGTGTCTGTATTATACTTAAACCTGCAAATTCTCAGCAAGCCAAGTTCATCATTTAGGAGCTCCATAACTCAAAGGAGCTCTTTTACTGGGCTTGCCCACATAGATGATTTCCAGGGTTTTTACAAGTTTACAAAATAAAGGCAATCAACAGGGACCCAAGTAGAAGAAGCTATCTGTCCACCCTATAATATTCTCTTTCTGGACTGATGAAAAACACATACTTTCTGAAACTAACACAAAAGTTTACCAATTTGAAACAACATTATGTATTTGAAACTTGAAACAAACCTATTATCAATTATGTGACTTCGTTCTTGTTGAATGCATCTCCAAATTACCTCAGAAAACTGGGCATCTCATTACCACTGACTTTGTATACTGGTCACACCTAATCAAGGAGCTAATAATAAGTTAACCTTTATAATATCTGCCCTCTGCCAAGCATTGTATTAGGCACTTTGCACTCATGTGATATAAACCCATGTAATTGCTTAAGATCATACAGTTAACAAATTTCAGATCTATGCATTTATCTTAGTGTCAAATAGTATAATAAATTCTGACATCTTAAACATGAAATTAAGAGAGACAATATTTCACTTAAAATACAATCAGAATGAATTTAATTACCTGGATATATGTTCCAAATAATATTACACAGAATCTGGGGTTATGATTTTAATACTAACTCCAATATTGTATTTTGCACAACTGCTACATTTTGTGAACATTTTATATTATGAGGTCTACTATTTCCAGCCAATCTAGTGGCAGTCTGATATTTACTCTACCCCAATTATCACACTTAAGAGCATGTTTTAATTTAGTTCAAATCTCGGTTTCACAATTTTGGAAGGAACCCATAGTTCGTCAATTTACCCATAGCTCTCTATGATTTCTTCTTATCAATAAGAGTCTCATATAATTTGGTTAAATTTACAATTTTAACACATACACAGATTTTTAAAAGTTGTTTTAAAATTAAGCAGTACTTAACTTTAATTTGTAAGACTCCCTAACTTCTAGCTAGATATTCCAATCAAAATCAATTATCTTTGGGTCTTGTCCTGATTCACACAAACCTTTTCCCAGGAAAGGGTTAAGTGCCCGTTCTATTCCAAAGTGCAGCTTTGAAACTTTCATTGGCACAGCCCCGAAAACATGCCTCTCTTTGATCAGTAAATGACATTCTTCTCTTAGATCTGAGAGGGAAAATGTTCCTCCTTCTTTTTTCCTGTCTGTCCCTCCACACTCAGAATCTGGCCATCATTCGGGAATGGGGAGGGAGAGAGAGAGAGAGAGAGAGAGAGAGAGAGAAGAGAGAGAGAGAGAGAGAGAGAGTGAGAGCATTTTTATGAGCAACTTTTTTTTTGAAACAAGAAAGCTCATTAATTTTCCTCTAGCTACAGCCCTTAGAGGTTTTTCCTTTCTGGCTGGCTGCATTTTAAAATTTAAAAGGTAGCAGACTCACTCAGACACTGAACATAGAGACAGAGCAAATTAACACGACAATTATAAACAGAATGGCAGGGAAGGTGGGAAGTCCAAAAACTTGGAGAGGCTTGTTAGAAATCCCTTTCAAAAATCATTTTTCTTGGTTCTCTAGATTGTATTGAGGCCAGGCTATATCACAGAAAAATATGAGGCATCTCTATTTTAGGTCTTGTAAGCCAGATTTGTTCTGATTTTGTGGGAGATTGTCCCAGTGAGATTGGGGTGGGGAGGGACTGAATACCATAAGCCTAAAGAAATCCTCTCTACAGCTACCACTTGCCTCTTGACATGGCATCCTATGGAGAGGGAGGAAAACTAAGCTCAGGGAGCTCACTGCAGAATTTCCAAACATAGTGTCCTCTATCTAAAAGGAAATTGCACACCACAAAGTTCCCAAGAGGGAAGTTGCATACCACAAAGTTCCTGAGATTGTGAGGGAAATTTCACACTACAAAGTTTCCAAGGGGGAATTTTCCCATGGGTGTTAGGGCACAGCTGTCCCACCAAGCCCTCCTGGCACTTGGGGAACTCCCAGCTAAGAGAGAGGAAAGGGAAAGGCTTCCCTTGGATTGGATTGGAGGGTGTTAGAATCAGAGATTCCACCCCATGTTGAGTGCCATGAATATGTTGAGGTTTCAAGGTATGTTGTGGGGTCATCTCAAAAGAATTCACAGACTCAGACCATGTCCAAGCAAAGGCATTTATTGAGAAGTATGCTTCTCAGAAAGTAGACTGGGCTCCAAGAAGGAGCCAGCAACTTACAGAGCTTATAGAGGCAGAGAAAGATAGGGATTTTTATAGAACAAAAGATGCAATTACATCATTATAGATATTGTGACTAGCAAAAGTCGTAACTCAGATACCATAACCACTACACGACCAATACATCACCAGTACACAAACCTGTGTTTGGGCATTTACCCAAAAGCATTGGCTTCATGCTCAGGCCTGGAAATGAGCTCATTACTAAGTAGAAACCCAAAATATCCACCAATCAGTAGCAATGTACACTATAGCTCTTCCTCTCTTTGATTTCTATAATTATCACTGGGGGTTTTGCAGGGTTGGATCCCTATTGAGACTGTTTCACCTGGCAGCCACCCCAGGTTGGCCATTAATGTAAATAATCTGCTTGATTAAACTACTGTCTATAATCAATCTGGAGCTTCTGGCCTCTTTCTTTGGAATCAAATTAATGTCTTTCTTTGGAGATGCTGTGAATATCCCAGTGCATGGGGAGATCAGACCTTACAGGGCATCTGCTCCTAGTAAACCTTGATGGGTTTTTATAAGATTCATATATGGATCCAACAGGACAAGCCATTCCAGGAAGAAAGAATGGAGCCTGGACTTGGAGAGTAGTCCACCTTATCAGAGGGAGAAGAGGTTTCTGGAGGACTGGCAGCTTGTTGGTATTCCCAGGTGTCCAGAAAGGGTCGTTAGGCCATTGAGGAGGATGATGATAGCAGCACTTTAAGGTTTTCAAATCACCTTAACAAATATTGTCTAATTTTATCCTGCCATGGTGCTGGGTGTTATTTTATCCTTATTTTATGGCAGTGATTAAGTGACTTTTCAAGGGTCAGACAGCTGGTAACTGTCTGAGGTTGGAGTTGAACTTGGGTCTTCCTGACCCAAGCACTTGATCTACTGAGCCTAACTCTCTGGGCTTTGAAGTAATCTACTCCTCTACTTAGCTTTCTTACTCTGATAGAATGCTTCAGGAATTTGAGCTTCACCAACTTCTTTTAGCAAGGTGGAGATTCTCCTGGGTCACTTGACCCATTCATCTGTAGAACTCTTCTGTTTGGCCTCCTTCCATCTAGATTGGTGTATGTGTGAGCACACATTCAAATAAGGAGATGAACTACTATATCTGATGCAAACATTTGGCATAAAACAGGTAAATAGTGAACATAATCTGTCACAACATAAAACAAAAGAGAAAGAACTCAAAGTGAGGAAACACGGAATAATTCTTGTTCTGGCCAACATGTTTCCAGATGGGCACATGCTCACAAAACATCTTAGAGCTAAAAGTCCTGGGATTTTGAGTATTATTTAAGAGCGTATTTGTTTCGATTTAATATAAGAATGGCTACAATTTCCTTTGGGGCAGTTAGGTGGCATAGTGGATAGAAAGCCTGGAGTCACAAAGACTCATTTTCTGAGTTCAAGTCTGGTCTCAGACATTTACTACTTGTGTGACTCTGGCAAGTCACTTAACCTTATTTGCCTAACTTTCCTCACTGTCAAATGAGCCAAGACAACCCCAAATGGGGTCATGAAGAGTCTGACACAACTGAAACAACTCTACAACAACAACAAATCATTCTAAAAACAATTAAAATTTATGATTCATTTGCTGCACAGGAACTCTGTGAGTTTCATATAATAAACAATATCACCTCTATTTTAAATAAGAATATTAATTGATATATTGCAAGATGTTGACCCAGGTTTCCTTTTTTCCAAGTGAGATGACAAGTTTGAGTTGTGATCTTTAGAGTGAAGGGATGTCCTAAATCAGCAAGTTTACAAATAAGGGATATTGAATGCAGGCATTTTCCCCAATATTTTGTTCTTATTCTAGCTAAACTATTTTTATTTCTTTAAAGGTTTTAGATTTTATGTAATCAAAATTGTGAACATTATTTTTTATTTTATAACATTGTCTCTATTGTCATAAACATTTCCCTTTTCACAGTAATGACAATCGTGCTCTTATTGTATTCTTTTTTAATATTATGACTTTTTATATTGAGGCTATTTATACATTGTCAATTAATTTTATAGATGATGCTCTACATATATTTTATTTTTTGGTTAAGCTACCTTCTATTTTCCAGCAGTTATGTGATACAATGAATCTCTTTAAATTTTCTCCTGATCCCTGAAAGAAAGAAATCTGATGATCAATGGAACACTGTTTCTTTTCTTTCACAGGAAAGCTAGAGAACAGGCAAGAGACATGGACAAATGAAATGGCTTTTCTCCTACCTCCTTCACTCCAATGGGAGTCAGGTGACCAGGAAGGAAACCTGGCATGATGTCACTTTCTCCCTTTGCCCCAAAGGCAATAAGATAAATCATTGAAAGAGGACTCCAGAGAGTGAGCTGAATTTCATTCACATTGAAGACAGGTTCATTTCTAGAAATACAAATGTTTGTAGACTTTCTAACCCAATACCCTCCTCTATACCTATTTGGAATCTACCAATTACCCAGAGCAAAATATTAGCCCTGGCCTTTCACAATCACCATGGAACACAGTGACTTCCTATTTCTCAGTAAAATACTGTGTTCCACTTATCTGCTCCTCTGTTCCCTTTGCCTCATTACTGTTGTCATGAATGATCTGTTCTATATTTCCACTCTCATGAGACTGAAAATATTTCAAAGGCAAGAACAACTTTATAGAGCCACAGAGACAGAAGGATGCTTACCAGATGAATAAGCTGAGATAAAGGGAGTTTGAGTACCGTGCCTGCAGTTGTTGAGGAAGTTCATGAAGAGATGAGACTAGAAACCAGAACCCCCATTTCTCTTTCTATCTTTTCCCATTGGTTCTCTCTGGTGCGTCTTTCTGTCATCCAGTATCTGATGATGCTAGGACAATCAGAGAACTCAGTGAATACTCGTACAATGTCTGAAGGAGGCTTTTGATCAGGAAGAGTTAGTAGAGTAAACCAAACTCAGCAAGAAAACCTGAGTTCTGCCTTGAACTGTGGGGTAATTGGCCAGGCAGTTAGGCCTGCATTGCACAGTGCTACCTTAAGGAAAGCTCTTCCTATACGTTATTGGCTTGAGTACCTCAGCAATGTTAAATTCCATCTTCCAGGTGAAGGATCACCTATTAAGGAGGACTCTGGCAAGAATCTTGCTAGCATTGACTAAGAGAGAGACCCCCCCCCCGTGACTGTCACAGGACAGTCTATTTCCTTTACCTTTATAGAGACGGACAATGGAGGCATCCTTGAATTCCTGGAGAATGAGCCACTCTTGCTATATAACTTGGAAAATTTCAGTCAGCTTTTGTATGAGCAATGGAACCCCTACCTTGTAAATCTCAGCTGCAATAGAATCAGCACCAGAACAAAGGACAGAAACCAACCAACAAGGTCAAATAAATAAGATTGTTATTGCTGATGTGAAGGAAGGAGGAGGATTTTATAGTTAGTAAATCGTCACATGTTAATGTTTTAGAAGAACAGCATCGAATGCCAACTCATTGTATCCCTATTTAAAATCCCAGACGAGTTATTAGAGAAGTAAACTTTGAAGCTCATCATAATTTACCTCCTTATGAATTAATAAGTTCAGTCATTTTTATATGATGTATTTCTTGGACTTGCTTAATTTCAAAACATGATTTCTTCTATTTTTGGATACCAGATTTTGAGTACATCTGTTGTTAGCCCAATTGCATATACCAATTTGATTTAATTTTTTTTTTGCTTTGTAGTTCAGTCCAACTGTAAATAATCAAGGCAATCTATATAGTCTAGTAATTATGTTCCTGTGATTTTGTGTTAAATACATCCTTCAGTTGTCATTACTAGGCAGCCATAAAAGGGAATGGGGAGAGGTAAAAAGATATATAGATATAGATATAGATATAGATATAGATATAGATATAGATATAGATATAGATATAGATATAGATATAGATATAGATATAGATATAGATATAGATATAGATATAGATATAGATATAGATATATAGATATAGGTATGTTTATATTATATATTTGCCAGTTTTAAAAATTATATATAAGAAGCAATTCTTTTGTGTCAGTGACTTGAAGCCATGCTCAAAACATCCAAAGGTTAGCTTCTCCATAGAGGAAAAGTGTTTTTAAATTTATAAAACATTATTTTAAAATTATTTAAAATTTATTTTTAAAATGTGTCTTTTAAATTGTTCTGACTTCCAAATTTAAAACCTGTTTCCTATTTTGTATTATAAAGGATCAAGGCACTGTACTGATTCTAAAAGTCTGATTCTCACCAAATTTTCAGCTGACAACTGATAAAATTATGTATTTCAAGTCTAGGGAAATAGCTATGTTTTAGATTTGCCACAAAGCAATCAATCAATAAACATTTATTAAGCACCTACTATGAGCCCAGTATTGTGATAAGTATTTGGGATACAAAAAAGGGGGGAAAGAAATCTGTGCCTTCAAGGAGTTTACAACCAAATTGAGGAGACAACATATAAACAAGTACATAGAGGATAAATAGAAAATAATTAACAAATATAAGGCACTGGAATTAAGAGGGGGTGGAGAAGGCTTCCTTTAGAAGGCAAATTTTTAAATGGGTCTTGAAGGAATCCAGGGAGGTCAGAAGTCAAAGAAGAGGATTGAGGACATTCCAGGTGTGGGGAACAGGTAGAGAGAATTCCCCGCTGCTGGGAGATGGCATGCCTTGTTCATAGAACAACCAGGAGTCCAGCGTCATTGGACTGAAAAAGATGTGTGCGGGGGGGGGGAGAATAAGATGTAACAAGCCTGGAAAGGTACAATGAGGCTAGGTTATGAAGGGCTTTGGATGCCAAACAGCATTTTGTGTTGCATCCGGGGGGTGATAGGGAGCCAGTGGAGTTTACTGAATATGAGAAATGCCAGGAGTAGAACAGAGGTCTGTATATAACATTTGTTGATCTGACAAAGGCCTTCGATACTGTCAGTCATGAGGGCTTATGGAAAATTATGTCAAGGGGCAGTTAGGTGACACAGTAGATAGAGCACTGGCCCTGAAGTCAGGAGGACCTGAGTTCAAATCTGGCCTCAGAGCAAACACTTGATACGTACTCACTGTGTGACCCTTGGCAAGTCACTTAACCCTAATTGCCAAAAAAAAAGAAAGAAAGAAAATTGTGTCAAAATTTGGTTGCCTAGAGAAGTTCATCAGCATTGTATGTCAATCTCATGGTGGCACACTTGCCTGGGTTCTGAATAATGGACAATATTCTTTTGCTTTCCCAGTCATCAATAGGGTGAAACAAGGCTGTGTGCATGCTCCTATGCTTTTTAGCATGACGTTTTCAGTCATGTTGTCAAATGCTTTCAATGAAGATGAACATGGCATAAAGGTCAGCTGATGGTAAATTCTTCAACTTGAAAAGGCTACAAGCCAAGACTAAAGTGGAGGGAGTGTTAGTGAATAATTTTCTATTTGCAGATGATTGTGCACTCAATGCTGCCTCTGAAGCTGAGATGCAACAAAGTATGGATCAATTCTCTGTTTGTGCTAATTTCGCCCTAACAATTAACACCAAGAAAACACAAGTGCTTCATCAGCCCGCACCACACCACCCACATGTGGAACCATTCGTTAAAGCAAATGGAGAAGTTTTGGATGCTGTGGATAAGTTCACTTACCTTGGCAGTATACTTTCCAGGAATGAACATATTGATAATGAGTTTGATGCACACATTGCCAGAGCTAGCTCAGTGTTTGGGAGGTTCCAAAGGAAAGTGTATGAGAGAAGAGGTATTAGACTGCTTACCATACTGAAGGTCCACAGAGCCATCATGCTGACTTCATTGTTGTATGCCTGTGAAACCTGGACAGTATACCAGTGTTATGCCAGTAAACTGCCAAACATTCAAACTCTGCTGCAGAGAGTGAAACTGATGGGCTGGACATGTTGTGTGAATGCCAAATGTGCACTTGCCAAAAAGACTATTTTATAGAGAACTCACGCCGGGCAAGTGTTCACATAGTGTCAGAAGAAACAATACAAGGACACTCTCACGGTCTCTTTCCAGAACTTTGGAATTGATTATGTGATATGGGAGACACTGGCACAGGACCACTCAGCATGGTGTGCCTTCATCAGACGTGCTGCACTTTGTGAGCAATGCAGAATTGACATGTCTCCAAAGGAATTTCCGATGCACAGACTTAGAGAATCCACCTCAAATATTCACATGAACTATTTGATGTCTAGTAGAGAATTCTAAGCTCATGTTGGTTTGATCAGCAACACTGGGAGACACAGAACTTGACTCTAGAATAGTGATGTCATTTTGGTCCTCTTCAAGAACAAAGGACAACAACCAATCAACCAATATCTATGTCTATATCATCTATATCTATATCTACATCTGTATCTATCTAATCTATTTATACCTATTTGTATCTAACGGCAAGCATCTCTAGGGCAAGAGGAGAGAAGAAAAGAAATTTACTGGATAATTTTGGTGTATATTTGAAAGGAATAGTAAGATTTACAGTTTCATATGCAATCATCTTTTTTAATTTATTGCAGTACAACGTACTATATTATGAAAATGCTTGTTTTATCCGATGAATTAACAATAACATTTAAAAAAAGAAAAAAAAAGTAGTTAAGGCTCTTCTCCAAAAGTGTCTCAAATGAGCCTGTCAAGGCTCACAAAAGACTCCAAAAAATAAGATACATTTTCTTTTTGATGAGCATCTGATTATTTCTTTAATTGAATTTTTATTGTAATCTGAGACTACATGGTATGAGAAGTAGTATGACATGCTGGAGAGGAACATGGCCTTGGACTGAGAATAAGAAGAGTTCAATACCAATTCAGACTCAGTATTTTTAGGGGACCCAAGGAAATCATTTAACTTTTGAGTATACCAGGAAAATCTCTAAGATGATAAGTTGCAGAACACTTGCCAGCTTTCATTGGTAGAAGTGTTTTCCTACCTAGGAATACATCGGTGATGTCCCAGGTTGGCTGAGTTCCTTTCCCTGCTGCTAGTGAATTTCCTGCATTTGGGGATTCTTTATTTGAATTAATCAATTGTTGAATGGGCAGCTAGCCCTAGAAAACCCCTCCTCTCCCATCTTCCCAGGTATTTCCCCAACCAGGCATAGAGAAATGAATGAAATCTGATTCAGTTCAATCATTTATGAAACATTAAGTATCTACTGTGTTAAGGAACTCTCATATGATTTGAGACAAAAACGAGAAAGCAGCACACACACACACACACACACACACACACACACACACACACACACACACACATGCACAGATGTTGGATAAAAGATATAATGGAACGAGTGTAAAGTTGAGGCTAAAAGTCCTATGGGAAATTGGAAGTGGTTGAGAGAACTTTTGGTCCTTCCTCCTCTTCAGCCTGCCTGCTAACTCAAGTTTAGATGAGATATTAAGGATAATGGCTTTCCTACATCCAAAGTGGTATTGTTTAATATTACTGTCATAGAATGTGGAGGAAAGTATTCAACTTGCAGCCCCAGGAAAGAGAACTCACTTCCTGCAGGCCAAATGACCTGTTGCCTCTCTCTTTACTCAGAAGCATTGTGGCCTCATCTAGTTGGTATGACAGGAGGTTGGTGGTACAGCTCTTAATAGAAATTAGGGACCGTCCTAGCAGAACCAGGAGAACATTGTACACAGTAACAGCAATACTGTGCAATAACTAACTTTGGTGAACTTAGCTTTACTCAGCAACACAACAATCTAAGACAATTCCAATAGACTCATGATGGAAAATGCTGTCCACATCCACAGAAAGAATTATGGAGTCCGAAAGCAGATCAAAGCATACTATTTTCTCTTTTTTTGTTTTTTCTTTCTCATGGTTTTTCCCTT